AATTAATGTATGGTTAACACATGGGCATCCATTGGAAAGTTTGGCTTGGATAAAACCAATTTGATTAAGTTAGCTCGACTTGTCCAAATATACAGGGTATAAATTCAATCAAATGGCCTAATATGGCCATTAGACCAAAAAATGGTCAAATATACTTAATTGGGATGGTTTGAACTTACCTTAAGATGTTTAGTTCATTCAAATTAAGACACTTGTAATAATTTAATTCAAATTGACTCAGCGAAACCATTAAAGGTTTAATTAGGCTAGGTTGGGTCGATTGGGCTCCATTTGCCTCACAAATGGAAAATTGAATGAGTTTGATATATGGTTGATCCTCTTAGTTCAAACAAAAGGCTTGGTTTAAAAAGATTTGATCAGCTTCATCAATTTGGCATACACGGTCCAAGTGGTCAATTTTAGTAAACTGAAACAATTAGACAAATTGGGCTCAACCAAGGTTCAACTGAGCTTAATTCAACTATAGTTAAACAAATAGAATGGGTTCTAGGGTGAGCTTAGCTTAAGTTGTCCAAATTGTCCTAAGTGTTTCAAATATGTTAACTTAAGCTTAGTGCGCCAATTGTCAGATCAATGATTAACTGGAGCAGGCTCATATATAGTTGACCAATCGAAATAGAATTGAGGCCTTAGGTTCAAGATAATTTGGCCAATTTAATGATTTTGATCCAATAGGGTCACATGGATCAATTTAAGATAACATTATACTAATGGTCCAATTGGGATATTCCAAAGGTATCTATTTGGCACAAATTTAATCATTTCTAACGTATTATGGTTTATTGGAATGATTGAAACCAAATTGTCTTATTCTGAGGTTTAGGTTCAATTAACTTGATTGAGTTCTATTAGGTTAAACCATGGTTTACGGGTTTCTAGCCCAGGCAAATGATTAGTTGAAGTCAATTGATCTATTAGCTGCTGATTAAAAGCCTATGAAAGTATTGGGCCAATCAATTAAATCAACTAATTCAAAATCATCAATTGGATCCAGGATTTAAGAGTTATTAGGGCTAAGATATGCATAAGTTAAATCTAAGCCCACAACTCAAGCTCAAGAAATCCAGTAGTCAATCATATTTACATGGATATAATTGAATTACTGAGAAAATGAATTGAATGCTCAAAACACAAACTGAGTATATTAGATCCAATTAATGTTAAAACAGGGTTAGGTCTAACCTAGGGCTGATTATGATCAAACCTAACAAAAAGGGAGAATTAAATTGAGAACTGAGTTATCAAATATCTACTTTTTCTAAGACTAAAAAGGTCCTATAAAAATCTTGAAGTTTGGTCTTACAAACAATTGAAGGGAGAAATTTCTAGCAAAGCTTAATTAGGTTGAATCTAGAAGAGGAAAATGGCTTGAATCATCTCCATAGGGGACTAGAGGACCAAGCAATAAATATTGACCCCGACAAATTCATATGATCTAAATTGAGCATAACCAACTTAACCCAACATAAAGAACCCAAATTAGTAAGACCGCCGCATAAAGTGACATTTGATAGATATTCAGGGGCCGTTTGGGACCACTTTTTTTTATGTTATGATGTAAAATGTGTTTGGTATGATATAACACATTTAGTTGTTTTTAAAAAAATATGCAAAATACATTTAGATGTGTTGAGTGTTTTTATAAATTAGCTAATTTGTTATTAAAAATTAAAAAAAAAATAAAAATAAAAACATGCAAAAAATGCAACAAACAAACATGTCTTTAAACTAAAAAACAAAAACAAAAACAAAAACAAAAACAAAAGTGATCCCAAATGAGCCCTTATATTTTTTATGTCAATAATAGGATTTGTCTTCCCCTAAACAGAGTCAATGAATTTCTCACAAATACATGACTTTTTCGATTATAATGTTCTACATGTTATTAAACAAAAAAAGCAAATTAAGAAACTGAACACATGAGCATGTGATCACTGTGCGAGGACCAAAACAGTCATGAGAAGAATTTCATTGCATAAGATTGAGAGCTATTAGAGTAACAAAAATAAAATTCTAAGATATATAACAAGAGGAAGCTGCACAAATCCTCAACTTAAGATGGATCTTACTCTAGCATAAGAACTGCAAGCCAGCTAAAAATTGTCGGGTTTATCAGATTATTTTGTGTTACCTGTAGAACTGGACTCGCCATTCTGTTTTTCAAGAGAAGGGCTTGGCTGTACTTTTTCGCATAGTTTAGATGATGGCCCGGATGACCTTTCCCATTCATTAATGTTGTTTCTGTTGATTCCTACTTCATTTTGTGCCTGAAAAGGATAAAAATGACAATTATATAATGCAATAAAACAGTAAGCTAAATTGTGTTAAATAACGAAACTACAATGTTAAGGATGGTGGCAAAAGTTGGTAAAGCAGAAAAAATGGCCTTCTGTAAGCATAAACCGTTAGGATTCAGAAGCAAGTTTTTGCCATGGAAAAAAGCTAATGTGCATTTGATACAATATGACTTGTTAGTAATAAGTGCTCATCACATTTATTAAACAAAAGTTTCATTTTAGATTAATTAGATGGATGCTAGAGTAAGTGGGCATCAAGATTTTTCATTAATTTGGATGCCAATTTGACAAGCAGTTTTTTTTAATGATTTTATTCTTTTTAAATTTTTTTTCTTAACATTTTGACATTAAAAAAAAACATGTTTTTGTTTATTTAGGGAGGTGATGGCAGCAATAGCAAGCAGGGTAACAGGGTAACCCAATGATGGCTCGCAGCAGCCAACCTGATATTTATTCTAAAATGTTTAAAATACTTAAAAATTATTTCGAGCGTTTTTTAAAGCAACTTGATTTGTCTTTAAAAATTTAAAATAACAATAGTTAAGAGAAACACTAAATAAATATATTTTTAAAAACCAAAATACTAAAGTGATCCCAAACAAGCTTCAAATTTGGATCATTCACAAAATAGTATCACCGCTAAGAGAATATTGTACTTCAAAGTAGAAAACGGGTTACATGGCTTATGAATAATGTTAGCTTACATTTTCTAGAGCCTCCAGCTTCTTTTGCAATGCTTCATGTTCAGCTCGTACACGAAATGGAACACCGTCTTTCTGGAACACGTTGTTTTGTGCCATAATTTCATCCATTTCTGTGGTAGTTGTTGCGAAAGGGTGATTGGCTGGAATCCATCTGATTGTATCCGGATCAACATCTTGGGGCACCAGATCTCCTTCTTTGAGAAAAATTGTTGGTCTTTTCCATTGATACGCTCTTGATCTTCTCTGCAGATGAATGAACTGCTGCTCTTGTGTAAGGGTTACTGGAGCAAGCCGGTAAACTTTTCCACACATTTCAATTTTTGAATTGTTTTTTTGAATCTTCACTTGTGGGTTGTTAAAAGGATCTTCATACTTCAGATCAGACTTTAAGCTTTTCAAGAAAAAGGAGACAAAAAAGATGAAACTGATGCTCAGATAAGTGGAAACTACCAAAAATAGCACTATGAACTTCAATAACAATGGAAAATGTACTTAACCATCAGTATGATTGTGAACGCAACCGTGAAGAAGAAAACGACATAATAAAAGGGCAAAAGAAGTTATTGAAATCCACCTTACGGTCCTTCAGATGCGCCAGCTTTGTATTCTTAGATGACATAATGACACAAGCGTCTGTACCTGGACTGGTTCGGTCCAAGGTTCCTGAAAGCCAACCAGCCTTCAAGTCATCCTGAAAGTGTTGCCCAACTGGAGTGAGGCCCTCTTCTAATCTAGGACGATATATGTGTTTTTGTTGGTGTTCAGGGATTGGTTTTTATGTGATTTGCTTTGGGATAGCTGTCCGCATCTCCTTTTTCCTTTTAGGGTTGTATCCAAGGGTTTCGAGTATTGCTCCGGCTGTATCTTGTTCTTGATGTGGTGTGTATCCCCTTCTACCCATCCCCGATCTCTCCCGCATCTATTTCCCTTCACCCTTGCCGCTTTCCACCTAGTTGCCGCCATCAAAAAGGTAGTAAAACCATTGTTTTCCCTTCGAGTAGCAGATTGAAACCCAGAAACAGCAACTCCTGCTTTCCAACGTGCTGCCCCATTGCCCAATCCCATTGCCTACTGTTATAATATAACATTTTATTAATTTACTTAATTAAAAATCTTAAACTTACCTTTATATATTTTGGTTGACTATTTCCCGCCCACACGCATGCAAGGTCCCTCTCTTCGGTCTTGATTCGATCCAGAGCTACACCCGTTTCTTCTTCCTTCTCTTCCTCTGCACACATGCGAGCACGAAGCTAATCCCGCCTCCTCCCTCTTCTCCTTCGCACTGCTCAACAGCCCTAACGCACACAGAGCTCTCTTTCGGGTCTTCTGCAGTTTTCATCCCTATGATTCTCCTCCTACTCCCTTGCAACCAGTTCAAAGTGCGTGAGGAGGTTTCATGTGAGCAGATCGCCTCTTCCCTTCCTCTCTTCGGCTTAGTTGGGGTGCGGAATCCTCTCGACAGAAACCTAGAGGCGTTCAATCAATCCTTACGAGCCATATGAATCTCCCCTACAGGAGTAAATGGATGCATGAGGTGAGCCGTCCCTTTCTTTCCCCCTTGTCCTCCTATCTCCTTTCTACTTCTCATTTTGGACTCGCCGGCCTCGATTCCTTCCCTCCACTTCGTATACTCCTCTCACTCTCTATCTCTCTCTCCTTCCCTCCACTTCGTATACTCCTCTCACTCTCTCTTCCTCTCCCACTGTCTCTCACTCTCTATCTCTCTAGCTCCTGTTCTTGAGTGGTGGTTCCAAAATGAGAAGATACGAGGAAAATCCTTGTATTAACTTCCCTTAAGCGGAACGGTTATTCATTTAACGATCATATCTGCTTTGCAGCTGTCATAAACAGATAAACTATATTTTTTTTTACCAAAATGAGAAGATACGAGGAAAATCCTTGTATTAGCTTCCCTTAAGCGGAACGGTTATTCATTGAACGATCATATCTGCTTTGCAGCTGTCATAAACAGGTAAAATATATATTTTTTTTTATTTTTTTTATTATTTTTTTAACCGGTTATCACACCCCAAATGGTACTGGCTTGGAAAGGCATGAAATGTAAATGAAAATAAATAAAAATTCGACATGTGACAGGTGACATTGGTGAATTCTCTTCCTATACTTAGCTAGCGATTCAAGAAAGCATTTAGACCGTTGATGGTACAACACAACATGTGGTTGATAAGGGTACAATGATGCGTACCAATTCTATGATTTTGTCCAATATTTTACATGCTCCTTCCTTTCTAGTGAACCTTTTATTCATTAGTGTCATTATACTCCAAATAAAATGTATTGTTTCATTTGATATTCCAAAATTAATCTATCAAAAGAAGGGGACTGACACGTGATGTAGTGGACTCTGGTACTTGGATAGAGGGGAAGTACTCATCCTTGACATCCATGATTGAAAATGTCTGAGCAGGAGGATCTAAGAAGAATGTGAAGGATGTATTGCAGCCATATCACAGGCGCACGAAACACTCATCTTTCAGTCTATTGAGTCGTTTTTATCAATCCTTGTATGAAAAGGCAAATAAAGAGAAACGGGTTTGTGATGCTTATGAGTTTGACAAGCTCACTAGGAGCTCCTATGTCAGTTTTGGGAATAGGAGCTCTGGTGTGTTTGATTTGATACATTATGATGTATGGGGACATTGTCCTACTAGTTCAATGAATTGTTATTGTTATTTGTTATGCTTATTGATTGTTTTTCTCGGGTTATCTGGATATACTTGATAAAACAAAATATAGAGGTGGTTGCTTGCTTTAAAGATTTCCACAAGACAATCCGGATCCAATATGAGGCAATTGTGAAGGCATTGAAAACTGATAATGGAACAAAATATATCAACAAAGCATTTAGGAACTACCTGTCAGCTCAAAAGATACAACACCAAACCACATGCCTATACACATCAGCACAGAATGGAGTAGCTAAGACGAAGAATCAACATCTTCTAGGAATAGTTCAGAGCATGATGATGGCAATGAATGTTCCACAGAGGGCAAGCAGTATTGACATCCGCTCAATTGATTAACAGGATGCCCTTAAGAGTGTTAGAGTGAAAGTCTCCTTATCAGATGTTGAAAGTGGACAATAATGGGATCCTTCCATTGAAAGTTATTTGGATGTGCATGCTTTGTGAAAAACAACAGGCCATCTACGGGGGAATTGGACCCCAGAGCTGTGAAATGTGCATTTGTGAGTTATTCTTTCACTCGAAAGGGTTATGTCTGTTGCAGCCTGATTGAGAAGAGACATTTTGTGGGTATGAATGTATCATTCAGAGAATTTAAACCATACTACATTCTGGAGGTGAATTCACCCTTTGGTGACTCAACAAGCACCGGAGAAATGAGGCAAGGGTGAGTGAGTAGTGGTGGAGATAGAGTCGTGCAAGTTAAAATAACATCATGTTTGAGATGTGGGATGAGTCAACTGAGACAAAAATCGAGAAGATTGAACCCAGAGGTGGTGGGATTCAGGTTGAAATTGAGCTAAGGATGTATAAACGGAGGAAGAAGCAAACTGAGGGAACAAGGTCTGCAGTGCCAACAAGTCCTCTGTCCCAGTCTTCCCCAACTCCTGAGACACCCATATCATCCACCTTTGATTCAAAACTCCTAGGTGATATTGTTCCTCCGTCAACGCCTAACCCCCCAATGTTGAGGACCTCCCGCAGTAATGCGCTTCGGATTGTTTTGACCAACAAGTCCTCTGTCCCAGTCTTCCCCAACTCCTGAGACACCCACATCATCCACCTTTGATTCAAAACTCCCAGGTGATATTGTTCCTCCTCCGTCAACGCCTAACCTCCCAATGTTAAGGAGGACCTCCCGCAGTAATGCGCTTCAGATTGTTTTGGGTGGGAACTTAACATTACTAACTTTGTTTATTATTCTAACATCTCACATTTGCATGGAGCATTCATTGTATTATTGGACTCTATCTCTATACCCAAGTGTTGGCAGGTTGTTAAGGAGGATTCCTAGTGGAAAACAGTGATGAATGAGCTTGGTGCTCTTGATAAAAATTGAACATGAGATATTGTACCACTACCAGCTGGGAAGAATGTAGTTGGGTGCAAGTGGATCTTCTCGGTGAAGCAGATTCCCGAAGGGAAGGTGGAGAGATATGAAGCTCGACTAATGACAAAAGGGTACAATCAGACGTATGACATTGACTACAATAAAAACTATGCACCAATAACAAAGATGAGCATGGTAAGGACACTGGTTTCTTCGGTAGTGAATGGTGGATGAAAGTTACACCAAATTGATCTGAATGCTTTTCTTCATGGAGAGCTACTGGAAGAGAAATATATAGAGATACCGTCGGGATTCGGAACATCCAAGATAGTGGTCAAGGTGCTTAGGCTCAGAAAATCACTATATGGCTTGAAGTTGTCTCCTCGAGTCTAGTTTGACAAGTTTAAAATAGTGATGATTGAAATGAGATATCAACAGATCAATGCATACCACACAGTGATCTTTCTACGATATGAAGGTCATGTTACCATACTTGTTGTGTATGTAGATGACATAATTGTCACCGGTGATGATGAGACAGAGATAGTTCATTTGAACGGAAAACTGGGGAATCAATTAGAGGTAAGGATCTGGGACAGCTCAGATACTTTCTTGGGAATGATGTGGCCCATGAACCTGAGGGGATAGTCTTATCCCAGAGATAGTATGCATTAGATCTCCTCATGGAAACAAGTATATAGGAGTGTAAACTTGCAACCTCTCCAATTGATCAGAATGTCAAGCTGAGTGCAGAGGCAGCAAAACCTGTTGATCGTGAGAGGTACAAGAGACTGGTGGCTCGCCTAATTTTATCTGTGCCACACTCGACCTGACATCTCTTTTGCAGTAAGTGTGGTGAGCCGCTACAAACATAATCCAAAGAAGGCCAATATGGAGACAGTGTATCAAATCCTGAGATAATTGAAGAGTGCACAAGAGAAGGGGTTGATCTTAAGGAAGAATGAACATGTAGACATTGAAGGCTTTTGTGACTCTGACTGAGCAAGTTGTGCAAAAGATAGAAGATCCACATAAGGATATTGCATGTTTGTAGGGAGCAACTTGGTCTCTTGGAAGAAGCAAGAAACAATTGGTGGTATCAAGGTCAACAACAGAGGCAGAGTGCAGGGCCATGGTATTAAGGGTTGCTGAGATGATGTGGCTGAGTGCCTTGTTGGTTGAACTCAAGGTGGACCAAGGAATTCAAATGAAATTGAGTTATGGTGCAACAACAAGTCAGCAATCAACATTGCTAACAACCTGATGCAACACGATAGAACCAAACATGTGGAGATTGAAAGATTCTTCATCAAGGAAAAGTTGAATAACGAACTACTGGAGCTAAGTCATGTAACTAGTGGAGAGCAAGTGGTTGACTGCCTCACTAAAGGACCTAGTTCATTAGAGTACTCTAGATTGTGTGACAAGATGAGCTTAGTGGATATCTTTTGCCCATCTTAGCCCATCTTGAGGGGGAGTGTTGAGAGTTGTGTAAAAAAGATTATTTGTGGGTTTATTTGTAAAAAGATGTAAACTATTTAAGTCCATGCTTTGAATGAAATAATTAGGTTTTTTGTAAAATTCTTTTCTATTTATCCCCTACTACCAGTTCCCCGGTTTCTCCCATATCGATTCCCTTCACGTAAGTCCATGCTTTGAATGAAATAATTAGGTTTTTTTGTAAAATTCTTTTCTATATATCCCCTACTACCAGTTCCCCGGTCTCTCCCATATCGATTCCCTTCACCCTCGCCGCTTTTCCCTTTGTTGTCGCCACCCAGAAAGGTAGTAAAACCTTCATTTTCCCTTCCAACATCCAACTGAAACCAAGAAAACAGCAATTCCTGCTTTCCAACTTGCTGCCCCCTTACCGAATCCCAGCGCCTCCTGCTAAACAACCCCCTCGGCACTACCTAGACACTAGATCCAACCCTAGTTCTAGTGTTATGTTGTTATTTCATTGCAATTTCAGTTTTCCCTGTTGTTTGTCATGATTCCAAACTTTGAATTCAGTAATAATATTTATTTTCCCATGAGTAGTTGTTAAATTCCGGTATTGCGAAGATCAAAACAATGCTTCATATGACCATAAATTAATGCCAATGGAGGCAGAGCATGAACAAATCAAATTCATATGCTAACTACTAAATAAACTGATATCAAAAGAGAAGATGAGACAAAAATTAGAGAAAAAAGCTTAAGAAGTAGACATGTAAGAAACATACAACTTCTACATGTAAGAAACATATAACTTCTCCATGCTAAACGGAATGTGTTGGAAGTACACCTTCTCGCCTGTTAAAGCAATTTCCACTAAGAGGAAATCTAGGGAGAGATCGAATTTTTTTAATATAGCATGCAGGCCATAGTTGATTTCCACAGAGCATAACAAAAAGATCTTGGGAAATGTTATGATTATCTTGGAAGCTATAAAATAAAACAAATAACTGCAAACTATGAATGGGATAAAATGAAAATGTTTAGCATGCATGGTTTGTATATATAATTTGGGTAGCATATGATATGACTAAAACCACAGCTCTAAGATTTTTGATACAAAAGTTGCAGAAGCAAGCGGCTGTGGTATGCATATGTTTAGCTAAAAATAGGGGGTGCATGAAGTTGACAAAAGAAATCTTTTACATCTCCATATATAAAAGCAACGGCAAAAACAACTGGCCCCAAGTTTGAGAATAGTATGAAAGTCACCCGCACGATATCGACTTGGAAAATTCAGCCCTCAAGGAACATGGCAAACATATCATTTTAACGACTTCAAATTAAAACAGAAAACCAGAATTGATCAGATATGTTGTTATTTTCACAATGTGCACGGACAAGTTTATAGTGCATCGCTAGAACAACAACTCATTAGATTATGTAGAACAATATTATAATTTACTAAAAGACTTAATTATATGAAAAGTAAATTAAGACTATTTTGCCTTAGAACGTGAGTCAAAGATCCAATTAGTTACACACAAATGAGAATACGTCCAAATAGTTTCACATAAGCATTTGAAAGTAGTTGAAATTATAATGTAGTTAAGTGGTAGAGAGTTCCGATGAAGTATGTATTTATTACAAGAGCCAGTTCTTATATTTTCTTTGTATGAATTGTGTTGTCTATACAGGTAATGAACCAACCTGATAACTAACAACAAAATAATAAATATAAATCAATAATGGTGCACTATTATGAAGCAAATAATATGAAAATGTATTGAAAGTAGTAAGAAACAGTTAAGCAATGAAACAAAGTGCAATAAAAATTTTAAAAAACTTATAACAAAAAGAGAGCATTTATTTCCCGCAAATATGATTATTTCCACATTCAAATTTATTACTCAAAGTTTCTACATATATCATATTCCTTTTAGAAAATACTATGTCCGACTATAAAATAAATAATTTTAAGTTCCAATTAAAAAATAAATTATTTTTTGCATTCAAGCTCACATTCTCATACAAATTTTTTTCTATATATTATATTTGATATAGATTATAATATACAAATAAATTATAAAAAGCGTATACACGATCTAGTTTAAAATAAAACAAAAATATCTAAAACAGATACTGTCTTACCACATTAAACATATAAACTAATTGAAATATAAATTTTACTAATCATTGATATAATATTCATATTTTAAATATATTTTGCCCATTTTTTTATTGTTCAAATGATATTATATTAAAATCACTTAGCTTTGGACATGAATAGAGTCAAGCAAAGCAAGGTCAAGACCAATTGGCCAATAACCAACTCTCATCTCGAGTAGACCAGGGTGGTACTCATACTAGGCATCAAGGGTACATCTTCTCATCCTTTTGGAGAGCTCAAAGAATACAAACTCACACCAATCACTTCATGCTAAACAAACAATTGAATTCATCTGTAAGTCAGCTTCACCGCATCCAATCATTCATGTCTAAACAATTTTTTTGAAAATACTAAATCATGAACAACGTATAACTGTTTTATTTTTTTAGTTGGACGTTGAAATATCAACAAAATCTTTTAATGCATAATGAAGACGAGGAAAATTGACATATTTAAGTCATGCAGAAGTGGATTGAAAATAATGTCCACGCATACAAAATACACCATAAAAATAAAAGAACAATATCATGGGGTTCTAACAAAGTGATGGTTTTAAATGAAAGTAAAAAGCCACATATAGAAATTGCATGATTAATTTATATATCAAGGCAATGCAAGGTATGCAAACAAGTCATTCCTCTTAATATGCTGCTCCTCAACTGATATCAACTGATATTTAACAAAGATGTGCATGATTAATTTATATATCAAGGCAATGCAAGGTATGCAAACAAGTCATTCCTCTTAATATGCTGCTCCTCAACTGATATTTAACAAAGATGATCAACTATACATTCTTATTAAAGTTCAGTAACACTAAAATAACGATTATATATTTTATCGAAAGCGGCAATGCTTTATTAATTAGAACACATATTTTTTAGATACAAGATAAGTAAACTGATAACAAAATTAGTAACTCTGATGAATTTCTTGCTCCAAAAAACTGGCAATGCTGCTTGGGCCAGCATGAAAAAAAGCAGTTATGAGATATAATATATGATTATCTGAATTGATAAGTCCATAACTAAGCACAAGTATCGAGAATGTTCAAAAGTATTGATGCTACTAGGAGAGTGAAGGTCTGGGGTAGTAGTTAGATCACCTCTATTATAATCTGAAGGCCCCAAGTTAAGACACGGGAATATCCTCTCTACAAATGCAAGGGTAAGTCTGCAAACACCAATCCCTACTGGCATATTGGTGGGGAGTGAGAAGCTCCATCCACTGTGCAACAATTTATTCATGCTGGCAAGAAAAGTTTGGTTAGGTTTGTAATAAGGATGAGCGGGTATTGCCCGAAAAACCCATCCTAGAGTTGGGTAAGAAAATGTGAAGCCAAACCAGTCACAGCTTTTAAAAATTAGACCAGAACTTGACATCATAAGGCGGGGCTTTGGATCAAGTTAGGCTTAATCCTCAGATGACAAAAGGTAAGTTGATATAACTGAACTTTAAGGTATAAATCTCTTATAATATTTAAAAGAAAAGTTAACAAGGGGTTTGAAATAGTTTACATTTGGGTCAGATCTTGTCCTTGGCTAGAAACACAAAAATAGCATGAAGCTTTAAATTTATGTTTGAGATTGCAGGAGCTTGGTGGATAAAATTGTAATTAAAGACACTTGACCCACATTTTGAGGACATCCCAAGATCATAATTGCGTCCAGGAAGTACACAGGAAACGGGTAAAAATAAAAAATCATAAAAGAGAGATGTTGCTTCAAAAAAATGCCCAAATAATGTAAAGTTATAAGTTATGTGAAAATGTTCAATAATCTAGAAAAAAAATAAAATTAGATTCCAAAGCCTTTAATTGATGAACTCAAAAAACTCAACAATCAGTGTTGAGCATGGATAGAGTGAAATGCAAAGTAGTCTATTACGTTTGCTGCAACAACTGCCATGCTTATTCATAACTTCAAATATTTGACCGAACAAAGCACAAAGCCCCTCATCGCCAAAAAAAGGTTTCCTTAAAAAGTTATGAATAGCATAACTTGATATCCAATTATCAGAGTAAGAGAAATGGTAGAGGTCGATAGTTTAATAATATATATATATATATATATATATTATTAAA